CCCTCCCCCTCCCCCTAAACTTGGATTCTCAGTCTTTGATTCTATACACTAAATTAATTTCGCCGTCGTTTACATGTTATAGCGGAGCACCATACTTAAGAACAAAATAGTAACCCATGGAGTTGATTTTTCATGGCTTGAATAGGCCGCTTACTGCAGTCCGTCCGTCCATTCCCGTTCGCGGTTGATTTCAAAGCAAAACTATTTGCAAATGCACCTTTTTCATAATTAAAAAAAAATCATGTTTGGTCATAGCAAAACAAAAACAAAAATCATCAATTATAAACAAAAATAAAAAATATAGATAAAAATATATTGAATTGACTAATGTGGTTAAGAGTTGAATCGGAGGAGCCTCAAAGGTCCTTTTATTGGATGTTACCTTCATGAGGGAGCGACTTTTTCACATCCATTTAAACTTTTCATAATCGAGAAGTTTTTTATATCGGTACCCAATCATCGTTCTGTAAAAGAAGTAGAAGTATGCTTATTTTTTACTCAGTGTTTCAAGTCTGTTCAGTGTTCTTTCGTCCCGAGAAATTTCGGAAATCTCCAAAATTGGAATTTGAATGAAAGACAAATATATGCCTTCTAGGTAAATTTGCGCTAAACCTGTATAATATTGTGTTACATTATCAGTAGCTATCTTTTGTTTTTCGAGTAAAAACATATTACCAGGAATTCAAAGTGTGAATATGTCCATGAAAAACTTTATCGAAGAATTATTTCAAAAAAAAAACTCCAAGAATACACTTGTAAAAATTGGGAGAGTAGTAAGGTGGAAGACAAAGATTCGTGAAAAAAACCAACGATGTAGTGCATTTTGATTGGATTAATTTTACTGGTCTTCATTATGGGTACATCATCTTTATCTGGAATAATAAAAATAGTTTTAAAAAATTCCCGATTTTATTTTCACCTTTAAGTTTTATTTTGATTGAGTCTAAAATAATGGGAGCTGCCTTCATTTATATTACGGGGTACTCGGGAGATGGAGTCAACTGTGTTGCTAGGATTTATTACCCTCATTATTAGTTCTTTTTCTACTCACAACACTTGGCAAAAAAAATTACGCTTATAATTTTGGTTATGCCTTTTTTTAAACCTAAACTATGAATTAGTATAAAAAATTTCCTTTACATTTATCTGATTGTTTATTGGCAGACATAAACGAGTGCCAAACCACAGCCCTAGCAGTATATCAAGGTCACTACGGACATGACTGTCATGCTGATGCTAACTGTACCAACACCAAGGGATCGTTCTACTGCACCTGTCATACGGGATACTCAGGAGATGGTGTCACGTGTGTTGGTAAGTATGACAACTTACAAAACCATCTTCTCTTGTGATTTGCTTTGTTGTGAAGTGTAACATGTACATGAAAACAAACTTCCTTCCAACAGACATAAACGAATGTCAGACATCAGGTCTTTCCCCTTACCATGGTCACTACGCACACAACTGTCATACTGATGCTAACTGTACCAACACCAAGGGATCCTTTTACTGTACCTGTCATACGGGATACTCTGGAGATGGAGTCACGTGTGTTGGTAAGCAAATCTCGTTATCACAGAAAAAATCAATTATCATCAACTTGTTTTGTTGTTGTATTAGTTGTTGCTGTTGTTGTTGTTGTTGTTGGTGTTGTTGTTATTGTTGTGTTGCTCTCTCACTTTGTGCTGTATGGTAATGGTTATTTGGTTTTATATTTGCATCTATGTTATTGATAAAATTAGAAATGTTGTATTCTTAAACTTTATATTTTGGTTTTTCTTTTAATGTACTTATTGTAATTTTTTCATGTTTTGCAAGCCTTGAGTCAGCTGCATTAAACGAACGTTTAACACCCGGCTGAATTTCATCACAGAGAAGCCAATAAATCACCAAGAACTGACTTAAAAAACGACTAGACCGACACGAAAATTCATTCAAGTAATGACTGTGAAACTGATGTGTGAACAAGCACTTTATCAGACGTTGCCATTAGTTACAGTACACAAGGTTCTTGACGCTTACGTACTGCACCAGACATGCTCCTGATCCACTTATTTGATTGGTTTAAATAACTAGGCATTGATATGTTAAAAATTATAGTTTATAATTTATAGTTTATTAGTATTATATACAAATGACCTTATTGAAGAGGATACAGCAGGTCATTTTGATAATCATTCATGTACATTAACTTATTACTAAAATTAAAAACACAGAAATGATTTAAAAAAAGGAAAATATATACGCAGATGAATCTGCGAGGAAACTTTTAAAGAAGTAAAGAAAATGGAGAAACACGCCTAATTTAGCTTTTATCGCGTAAGGCATAAATATCAGTCTTTTTGAATGTGGTAGACCGCTTTCCTGCTATTTTCTACGTCAATGAATAATGCCGCTTATTATTGAAGTAGTAAACATAATGATTATGAAAATGGCCTCCTGTATCCTTTACGGCGAATATCAGCTATCATAAAATATTTAATATTCATATTCATATTCATATGAAATATGACATATCAGAATGCAACGTTATCCATTGCTATCTTTTAAACATTTGACAGATATTAACGAATGTAGAATAGGGATCCATAACTGCCATGCCGATTCTAATTGTACCAACACCAAGGGATCATTCTACTGTACCTGTCATGTTGGCTACTCGGGAGATGGAGTCACGTGTTTTGGTGCGTAAACCAATAATTTTTATCGAATTGTATTCACGTAGTGGTTGTTAAATAACAATACCTTCAATTGTTTATCGATGCCCCGAAAAGCCTCTTGGCTAATCGAAGTCAGAGCACAGAAACTTAACAATACATAATGTAAATTCCATAAATAATTTTCTTTTAATTTTATACCATAGATATCAATGAGTGTAACTCCAATGCTTTGGCACTAAATCACAGTCATTGTGCACACAACTGTCATGCTGATGCTAATTGTACCAACACCAAGGGATCGTTCTACTGTACCTGTCATACGGGATACTCAGGAGATGGAGTCACGTGTGTTGGTAGGAAAATTCCTAGTATTGGGTATAATGTTCTCCGATTCATGCAGATCGGTTATYATTACTCTAGATATCTCATAGTCATTCCTTTTTTCTATCCATAATATTTGGAAAATATTTTTTCTCTTATAATTTTTGATCTGTAAATGAAGTTTCTGAACAACAGCTTTTTTTTTTTTGTTTTTTTTGTTTTTTTTGCGTAAACTACCAGAACTAGAACACGGAAAGTCGTGGGTTCATTTCCCATCTGAAATTCTACCTGGAATTTTTTTATGAGATCTCCTTACACAATTCCTTCATACTCAAACTGTCAATTTATTGGAAAATTTTCATTTGGTTTTTATCCAATTGTTTATTTGCAGATATAAACGAATGTCAGACCACAGCCCTAGCAGTGTATCACGGTAACTATGCACACAACTGTCATGCTGATGCTAACTGTACCAACACCAAGGGATCGTTCTACTGTACCTGTCATACGGGATACTCAGGAGATGGAGTCACGTG